GTTCGGCACGGCGCTGCAGCTGATGGCGTCAGGCTTCCTGGCGGAGTACTGGGGCTGGCCGGCCATCTTCTACGTGAACGGGACGCTGGGTGCGGTCTGGACCGTGCTCTACGTGTTCCTCGGCGCAGACTCCCCGCAGACCTCCAGGATGATCAGCGCCGAGGAGCGACTCTACATACAGACCTCTTTGGGACATGTTGGTGGCCAGAAGGTAAATAGTTATACCGAAATGCACCTTATTTCACAAAAAGTTATTACAAAGAGTATTCTTTTTCCAGAAACTGAAAACTCCATGGATGAAAATCTGGACGTCGTTATCTTTTATATCCCTAATCGTGGTGCACTGCGGACAGAACTGGGGCTTCTGGACCCTGATGACGGAGATCCCCTCCTACATGAGTCAAGTGCTCGGAGTCGATATCAAGGCGGTAAGTATTTTTTATCATAAATCTTGTTGACTCGTGACATGTAGAATTTAAATATGCTATTGGTGGTTGGTGGTAAACTTCTGGGTTTTGTATTTTCACAATATAACATGTATTTTCCAGAACGGTTTGATGTCGGCGCTGCCCTACCTGGCCATGTACCTGTGCAGCTTCCCGCTGGGCTTCATGTCAGACTACGTCCTCAAGAAGAAGTGGCTCAGCATCACCGCTTGCAGAAAACTTTCCAACTCTATCGGTAAATTCACACTCTCACAGGTTTTCTTCTTGATTCATATGTTTCGTTATAGGGAATATGCATGAAGATTTTTATTTTTTAAACGTTTTCACTCGTTATAAAATAATCAGAAAAAAAAAGAAGTAAACTGATCGTTGAGCTAAAAGAATAAAATAAAATAACAACAAATTTCGTGCTACTAAGTCCAGAGTTTGCCGGAGCGTTGTGACGTCATCAAACATCGCTAAAGTTTTTGATCGGTTTTTAGAGTTATCGAAAGTCAAAAAGTGATTAAACCTCGCTGCTAAGTCATGAAACTTAAAATAAATCTTTATAGGTATGTTTTTGTTAATAAAATGGTTATTCTCGACTTTAACAATTGGTGGACATAACAAGGTCTGTTCGGTCCGGCGGCGGCGCTGGTGGCGCTGTCGTACGTGCCGGCGGGCGACGTGGCGCTGGCCGTGGCGCTGCTCACCGTCGTCGTCGGCCTCAACGCCGGACACTACACCGGCTTCCTGGTCAGTCTCACACAGACAACCCCATTCTATGATGTTTCCTTCATAACTGATTTATCAATTTAATTTAGGAGCGGGTTACTTTTGTTTTATAGTTACTGTTTTTCTTTAGAATATGTTTTTATTATTCCTAATATTATAAATGCGAAAGTTTAGATGGATGCATGTTTGTTAGAGTTTGTAGCCTAAAAGGTTGAATGGATTTCGATGAAGTTTGGTATATGTAGATGTAGAGGATAGTCTGGAAGAATTATTTTTTAATTCCACTCGGACGGAGTCGCGGGTGAAAGCTACTTATTACATAAGGTTCTTATTTTAACGTGTTTGTCATTTTGCAAACTGCAGCTCGTGCACATCGACATGGCGCCGAACTTCGCGGGCACTCTGATGGGCATCACCAACTGCTTCGCCAATGGCATCTCCATCATCGCGCCGCTCGCCGCCGGCGCCATTCTGAAGGATGAGGTTATTATTTC